TCTAAGGTTTGTTTCCTTGATTCGGTCATTGTGAATATCAAGGCATGCCCCTCTTTCTGGGTTTGGCATTTTGATCGAAGGCGGACAAAATGACGCAACTAGCATAGTCAAGTGTTAGACCTTTTAGAACACTCTTGTTCCAGTTCTCTGAACTCTTCCATTTGTTCAAGCCTCGTAGACTCCTCTAGCAAAGGCAGTGTAGAAATATCGGTCTAAAAATGAGATTTTTGAGTGCTCGTGTGAATTCGACTATAACAGGTGTTCCTCAACTCCCTTAGTTCATATTCACCGAAACTCCTTATTTAATAGATTTGATTTAATTGCCATTGTTTGGCTAGTTGAATTCATCTTTATTGTACATATATATTTTATAATTTCCTCTGTTTGGCTAGCTGAAGGATTTATGTCGTCACAAAGTGTTCGACTTGACAAGCACAGTGGAGCAAACACCGAATTGCCAAGTACCCGATCAACGTCAAGGTTTGAATGTAATCTATTTATAAAGACAGGGCTTTCGAGTTTTCTCTATAACCAATTGCTTTAGAAGAATAGCTCAGCTTATTGTGTGTGTGTGTGTGTGTGTGTGTGTGTGTGTGTGTATATATTCTGGGTACGGATTCCATTTCTTAAGCTCGTTGAGGAAAACCTGTTATAGCACATGTGTTTTTTGAAGGTCAGAAAATCTCATCGTTAGAGTTCAATTTCCAAGCAACTGACCCAAACTAGATTCATCTACTTGACCATTCCATCTGAGAAGATTATGTTCATCATTGAACGCCATTAACAGAAGTATAACCAATTAGTTTTGTAATTTCATGTGCTAGTTGCCCCATTTTGTCTGCTCCTAACACATACTTGAATGCCAAGATAATTGATTATACATATGAGGATAAAACTAGCTTGGTTCCTTCAAGAAAAGGGTATGCATTCTGGTGCATTTTTAGATTAGGATCAAGGGATCCTTGTTTTGCAGGGATTCAATCTTGTTATTTGTCAAAGATTTACAACCTCAATTATTAAAGAGCTTTTAATTAAGATGATATTTAAAGAATTCAAGATTAAAATTTGCTCATTATTCATTTCCTTAGAATGAAACATTTTATTGAAAATGTTCGAACATCAAGTGAATTACAAACATTTAAACAGAAGAAGAAAAAACAAGTTGAAACAAGATGACATGCATGAGAATGCAACAAAAACTCCTGATGGATGCCCCAGCCAACTTCCGATCAGGATACCCCATCACACATTGAATGTCAATGCCCCTGAATCGATCAGATCTTGGACCTTGCGCTTCAATGTTCTATAATTATCGGTGGTATGCCTCGAGCTCCCAGTATGATAGCTGCATATTGCGTTATTATCATGGCCTTCAGAATATGGGGCCTCTCTTGGTTTATATTGAACTGGAGTCACAAGGTTCCTCTCAACTAGCGTTGGAAGCAATTCCTCATACGTCATTGGGATTGGATCGATGCGAGTCTTTTCACGGAAGACATTATGAGGTTTGGTCCCCATATTAGCTAAATAAGATCCTACTATGTTAATCTCATCTCTTTCCTCATGTCAGTACTGCTAGTTCTTCTTATCTGGCCATTCTTGACAGCTCTTTCGATCATTTCTCCATACATGACGATGTCAGAGAAACTCTTAGTTGTAGCCCCTATCATGTGGTTGATATATAGAGATTTCAATATATCGATGAATAAAGTCGTGAACTCTCTTTCAGTCATCAGTGGATGCACTTGAGATGCGACATCCCTCTATTATTGTGCGTATTGTCGAAAGCTCTCATCATTCCTCATCTCAATATATTGAAGTGTTGTTCAATCGGGGGCCATATCAGTCATGTGTTTGTATTGGCTCAGAAAGGCACTAGCCAAATCCTTCTAAGAGCGAATTTGGGCATGACTCAATTGGTTATACCACTTAGAAGCGGATCCAGTCAAATTATCTTGGAAGTAGTGGATCAACATCTGATTATTGTTGGTGTATCCAGTCATCCTTCGAATAAACATAGTGAGAGGAATATTAGGGCAATTGGTTCCATTGTATTTTTCAAAGTCGGACATCTTAAATTTAGGCGGAAGCACCAAGTTGGGAACTAAAACTAATTCATTTGCATTCATTTCGTTGTGATAGCTTTGTCTTCTCATTCCCTTAAATGTCTCTCTGCACCACTTTTTCAAGTTCTCAAGGATCTCATTATTGGCTCTTTTCATCTAATCAGGAGTGGACATGCTATGATCAGTAGAATGATCCCAAAGACCTAGCACAATTGCATAAGTTTTAGTGATGGAGACGCATGCTTGGTGGCTTGGAAGCTTGTGGGGCGAAATGAGTGGTTGTGAACTAGCTTGTGCCTTCACGTATTCAAATTTGGCTTCCATTCTCAGCACTGTGTGAATGAATTTGCACGGTCAGAAGCACTTCTTCAAAGTCCTCCACGAGATAAACCCATTATTTCATGATTAATGCATGTAAAAAATGCTTCAATGAATGCCATGCAAAAAGTGAATATGCAAATGCAAATGCAAAAAGAATGAAAATGTTTAAATAAATGTAGTGCAGAATGTAAATACAAAAGGCACCGATTTCCAAAAGTAATCATTTTTAGAAAGAGTTCCATTTGTCCAAAAGAGTTTTCATCTTTACAAGAGAGATCCATCTACGAATGCGGTTTGTGATACGGAATCCCCAAGCAAACTACCAAGTTCGGACTGCCGAATTGCGTTCTTCCTTGTTATGAAAACTCTTTTCCATTTTAATGGTCGCCCTTCTACTATGATGATTACTTGGTTAATCAACACCTTTCTTTTATTTATGATGATCATGAAAAATGCCAAAGAATAAACAATCAAACATAGAAAATGTGTCAGTATAAAAGAATTCAAATATCAAGCAAATATCAAGAAAATAAAATAATGCAGGTAAAGAGAAGAGGTTTAGAGTCGTTTCTCCTTTGTGTACACTTAATTTGGGTACCTACTGACAGGCAAAAGTTCGGCATGAATTTTTATTGTGGTGAATTACTAGGGCTCACTATATGCATGTGTTGGGTTTTAAGAAAAATGGTACTCGAATTGTCCATGTTGGTGCCTCCTTAGGCTGCCAAACCCTTAATCTTGGCCCATTTTAGGCTCGTGCGGATCGAGTTCAATTCGAGAGGATACATTCCCTTATTTCTATACGGAGAAATAATTTATCTCACGTAGATAAAAGGTATATAAACCCCAAATGTTACTTGCTAAAACCCGTGCGGGAAAATAATTTATCTCATGTAGGCTAAGCTTTCACCTCAACTTAAAAGGGGCAAAGCTCGTAAGTGAGCGTATGATATGTAAATGCATGTGTTGTGTGTGAGGAGAAACTCATAAACCTTTGAAAACACGACCGAAAATGAAACAAGTTCAAAAAATCTGTTCAAATCTGAAGATCACTAAAATCAAAAAATCAGTTAGTTTAAAAAAAATATGCATTATATGTTGAAACTCAAAATAAATAAAAGGATCGTGAATTAAATACTATTTAAATTTGTAATTCCCAAAAATAAAAACAACGCATAATCGTTTATTGCATGACTCTCGAAATCCCCAGCAAAGTCGCCGAGCTGTCAAAACGTTTCCTCGGGGAGTCCATTAGACTTGAAAAATTTGTTTCGAGGGAGGTGATGAAATTTATGTTTGAAAAATAATTTGATTTTAGCTTGAGTCACCGCCAACCTTTAAGTTAGGGAGGTTGGAAACCTTAAAATAAGAAAAAATGGTATGTGTTTTACTAAAGATTCATTTTTAAAAGTTCGGGAGTCGATTACGTGGGGAAGGGTGAGCACTCCCACAACGCCCAAATTTTTGTACCTAAACTATTATATGTTGTTTAAATATTGGGAATTATAAACTCGAAAATATATTTAAATTACGATCCTTTTATTCATTCGAATTTATTTAAAAAGTGTGAACAATCTTCAATAACGCACTCCTTTGTAGTTATGAGCCTTTCTCATAGATTCCCCTCACAAAAACATTATTTTGCAAATTTCGTAAAGATAAAATAACATAAAATAAAATAAAAGGGAAAAGAACTGAAAAATAATCAAAATAGATAAACGTAAAGAAAACGCAAAGATAAATATTAAATAAAAATAAACAAATTTTTCCAAAAAATCCTCGAAAAAATACCTTCTATTGTAGTTAGGAGATATCTTCGTAGATTTCCCTCACAATAAAATTTCTCATTTTTCATATTTTATGTGTTTTCTCTCGCTTATTGGTTTTTTCTTTCGGTCTATCCCTTCCCCTCATTGATTTTTTCTTTCTTTCTTCTCCCCCGAATGGTCCTATGATTTGTGTTTTTTTCTTTAATGATGATGGCTTTTGTTTCCAAAGCACATAGGGTTTGAGTGCCCTAGATTGATAGTCCTGATTTTCTCAGGATTTCTTGTACAAAAATAATATTTTTTATGTTTTCTGCTTTTCTGACTGTTGATGGACTGATGGAGTGCTTGTTATGGCACAGTTCGGTCAGATCTATCGACGACGGCGTTAGAGGCGGTCGGCGAGGGAGATTTTTGGCTTGAGTGACGGCGGCTGAGCTAGTGTTATGGCTGAGCTGGTATTGTGGCTGAGCTGGTGTTGGTGACTGATGTTGATATATTAAGGTTAGACACCCTAATTTATGTATGCTTGTGGGCCATTAGATCTCAATCAGATCCAACGGTTGAAGATTTAGGGCGGCTGGAGCAAAGTATGGGAACCCTAACGGGTCGGGTTCACGTGGGCTGGATCGGGTCAACTTGTTGGGTTGGTTTCTGGAACCGGGTCGATTTGTAAATGTCTGGGGCTGCTGGGTTGATGTACTGGGCCTTAAGTAGGCTGATTAGCTCGTAATTTGGGTTCCATTGGGCCTGCAAAATCTAATATATGATTTAAATAAAAATATAATAATAATAAATAAAATAATAATAATTTTTTATAGACCCGGACAAAAACGGTTGTCTACATTATCAATATTGGAAATAAAGTTACTTCAGGTTCAACAGAAAGCAGTTCAACTACACTTCAGTTTTCTGCTTCACATAGTGCCAATACTATTTACACCGATGAATTTGATACCTCTTTGGTTTCTCTAAACATAGTATGCCTCTTTCTGTACTTTCAAGAATTCAGAAGCAATAATCTTTTCATTGATGGCTCAGAGTAACATGTTTGTTCTGAATTGATATATAGGCAGTTATTTGGTTCCATGTTCATGAATATGTAAAGGCATTATCAGTTCTTGAACCTCTATATCAAAGTATTGAACAGATGGACTAGGTATGTTTTTCTCTTTTTTTCATTTTCTTTTAATGATGATTGGTTTCTATTGATGTTCCCTTTTTAATTTATGTGCAGACAACAGCTCTTCATATCAAAGCAATAATTTAAGTGTTTTAAGATTTTCAAATTGTCCTGCCTCTGGTCTGCTTCCTATCTCAACCTGTAGCATTGCATATTATACCTTTTCACCCTGCTGTATTGATCTTTTGCTTCTATGATTGTTCACTTTATTTCGTTCTTATAAGCATGGTTGGTATGAAGATTTGTTTGAACAGTTAAACCTGGCTTAGAAGCTTAGGCAGCTTGGCTGTGAATGTTTGATTCTAGTTTGGATTCACACTCACCGTGTTGGCAGTTAGAAGTTAGAACACTGTTCGGATTTCAGACAATTATAAACCAGTTTGTAGTCTGACCAAACAACAGTTCTTTTGTCATATTTTGTTTAAGGAACTGTGTAATGAGTTGGTGAGAAGATGGTTTAACATCTTGTGGGTCACGGGGGTTGGAAGTTATATAGGAAGATAACTCTCAGAATCTACTATGGAATTTTTAGCAGTATCATTTATGACAGCCACTGTGGGTGAATATGTTCATAGTTGCAGGTTTTACCATGTTTTGTTTTTACTTACAATTATTGTTCGTATCTTTTAACTTTGATGCTAAAACAACTTTAATTATTTCCAGGACATGCTAAACTATTTGGAAAAAGCATTTGGCACTGGCAATGTGATCCAAGGGGACAATGGTAACATTTTAGTACAACAGTCCAAAAATCTAATTGAAAAATTATCCTCAGTTCCGAGCAGTTCATTGGTTTCAGATGTTTCTACTTCAGACTTGGCTGCTAACGTGAATGCTTCTGAGAATCAACTATCTAGAAGTCTGTCAGATGACCCACTGGAAGAACTGTTTTCGTCAGTAGATATCGGTGGACAGAACTTATCAAGATCTGCTGGTCTTACATCTGCAAACAATCTTCCCAGGACCACAATTGATAGATCTATCTCTGGTGTTGATTTGAAGCTCAAGTTGCAACTTTACAAAGTTCGATTTCTGCTTCTAACTAGAAATGTAAACCTTGCAAAGCGTGAAGTCAAGCATGCTATGAATATTGCTCGAGGGAGAGATTCCTCTATGATTCTCCTCTTGAAGGCCCAGCTTGAGTATACTCGTGGAAACCATAAAAAAGCCATCAAGTTGTTGATGGCATCAAGTAATCGGACAGATTCAGTGTCAACCATGTTTTACAATAATCTTGGCTGCATTAACTATCAACTTGGGAAAGTTTCATACCTCTGCAGTGTTATTTTCCAAGGCACTTAGTAATTGTTCATCTCTTCTGAAGGAGAAGCCTCTAAACCTGTTAACATTCTCACAGGATAAATCTTTCCAGATAACATATAACTGCGGGTTGCAATACTTCACCTATGGCAAACCAAAAATCAGCTCGCTGTTTCCAGAAGGCAAGTTTGATTTTCTACAAAAGAACTCTCTTGTGGCTTCGGCCTGATGAATGCTGTCTAATGGAAAGGACATTTAAAAGGAAGTCAGACTCCAAACAGATCAGAAATTAGAGTCAATTTTATTGGAAAGGGATGATGGAGGAAACTTCTAATTGAAGACGGAATATCCAGAAATGGACTTGTAGATTATGTTGGAAAGGATGGTTGGGGTTTAGGTGGAGATCGACAGCCTATGCTTTCATTGCCTCTTGCTAGGCAGTGTTTCTATAATGCATTGCACTTGTTGAAATGTTCTGATTCGAGTCATTTAGATTCTTTTTTACTCTCCAATTCATCCTTGAAGGAGAATGAATCTTATGGCGGGGCATCTTCCAAGAACTCAAACCATAATATCTTACATGGCATAGGCTCCAAGGCTTCAACTCTGTCAGTAGGTCTGGTCAACACAAATGGGGATTTGAAAGAGTCAAAGGGGGAACCAATCAGGAGCTCATTCAGAATTCCATCTCCTATTATGAAGATATTTGCAGAAGAGGAAATCAGATGATCGAGCAACCTCTTCTAACTAACCTGGCATATGTAGAATTAGAATTGGAGAATCCTTTGAAGGCCCTCTCTACGCACGGTATCTCTTAAAACATCCTGGTTGTTCGAGAATATACATCTTTCTAGGTCATGTTTATGCGGCAGAGGCCCCCTGCTTGCTTAACAAGCCTAGGGAAGCTGCGGAGTATTTGTCTGTTTATTTATCTAGGGGAAATAACGTTGAATTACCATTTGCTCAAGAGGACTGTGAGCAATGGTGAACAAAGAAACCTGTTGATTGTGAAGAATCAAACACAAGAGCAGCATTTTCCAAGAATCCTTCCCCAGAGGGCTTGAAGGAATTCATGTTTCTTAATTCAGACGAGGCACGTGGAACGCTTTACGCAAATCTTGCCACCTTGTATGTAAAGAAGATAATAGGATGAAGAAATATATGGCTTACTGTTCTTATTGATATGAGCAGTATATATGCAGATTATGTGAGCACAAAAGAAGGAAACTAACTACAAATAAAAAGGAAACAAAATAAATTGAGTAACTGCCAGATACTACAGATAATTACAAAGAAATATTCAAACATGAAAATCCCTTGATTTTCTCCCTTGACATTCTCAACTTGATTGTATATCCTTATCATGCCCCCGCAAGATGGATAGCCATGGAGCAAGTCCAACCTTGACCTTGAGAGAGTCAAACTGAGGACGAGCAAGAGGTTTGGTAAAAGCATCGGCAAGTTGATCAGCTACAGAGATGTGTGACACCCGAAGCAAACCATTTTGAACTTGTTCTTGGATAAAGTGATGGTCGAGAGCAACATGTTTCATGCACGAGTGGAACACCGGATTGCAACAGAGATTTGTGGCACCAACATTATCACAATAAATAACTGGTTGTTGGGGAAGGGTGACACCTAGTTCTGTAAGGAGAGAGCAAATCCATCGAATTTCAGCAGCTGTGGAGGCCACCGATCGGTACTCTGCCTCAATGGAAGAGCGAGCCATTGTACGATGTTTCTTGGAGCTCCAAGAAATAAGATTGTGACCGAGGTAGACTATGTATGCACTAGTGGAGGTGAAATCGTCTTTGTTACCTACCCAATCAGCGTTTGAAAAGGCATGAAGTGCTAGTGGGGAAGTCTAACGGAGTGTGATGCCATGATCTAAAGGTGCCACAAAGATACCGCAGTAGACGCTGGACCGTATTCCAGTGGTCACTGGTTGGTTGATGCATAAACTGAGAGAGTTTGTTCACCGTATAGGCAACGTCGGGCCAAGTGAGTGAGAGATATTGGAGGCTACCAACAATTGTTCGATACTCGGTCGGATCAGATAGTGGAGTCCCATATTGTAAAGTGAGAGTCGGGCTAGTTGTTAGTGGTGTAGGAGCATGCTTGGCTTCAGTCATGTGAGTTCTATTAAGGAGATCAGCAATGTATTTGCATTGACTGAGGAAAAGACCATTGTTGTGGGAGGTGACTTCCACTCCAAGGAAGTGTATCAGGGGGCCAAGGTCCTTGAGAGAGAAGCGTTGAGAGAGTTGTTGAATGAAGGCCTATGTAGCGTCTGCATTATGCTCAGTGATAATGATATCGTCAACATAGACTAGAAGATAAAGAGTGGTGCAACGATCGTTGAAGATGAATAAGGAGGTGTTGGCAACTGAATTGGTGAAGCCAGATTGGAGAAGAAATTGGCGCAACTCATGGTACCAAGCACGGGGAGCTTGCTTGAGGCCATAAATAGCCTTGCGTAGCTTGCAGACGTGATAAGGATGGTCACGATTAATGAAGCCCGAAGGTTGAGACATAAACACATCCTCAGTGAGAGTTCCCTGAAGGAAGGCATTGTTGATATCAAGTTGTCTGATTGACCAACCCTGACTAACCGCAAGGCTGAGAACAAGACAAAGAGTGGTAGGTTTGATGACTAGACTGAAAGTTTCAGAATAGTCAATTCCAGGGCGTTGGTGGAAGCCTTTAGCAACCAATCGAGCTATGTACCTGTCAATAGAGCCATTAGGTAGATATTTGGTGCGAAAGATCCACTTACAACCAACCAAATTTTGAGTGGGATGAAATGGCACTAGTTCCCATGTCCCATTACGAATTAAAGCATCAAACTCTTCAGACATAGCTTGTCGCCACTTAGGGTATTTGAGGGCTTGGGTAACAGTGGTGGGTTTAAGGGTAGATGGTTGGAGTTGGGCAGTAAGGTTAAGCTTTTGAATATGTTTATGGATGTTGTGTTTGGAGCGAGTGATTATAACACGAGGTGAGGTTGAGGGGTCGGGAGGTTGATTAAGTTCATTGTGAGGAGACGAGGGTGGTGGGTCACTAGCAAGGTCGCACTCGGTTTCAATAGAATGATTGGCAGACTATGGTGTATGTGTGACGCGGATGGTATTATTTTGAGTTGGGTATTAGGGTTGGCTTGGGGCGGTAGGAGCAGGTAGATTTTGTGGGGGAACAGAGTCAGCATTCGAGGATGGTATTGTCACGACTGGTACAGTCATAGAGCACCACTCAGAAACGGTAGATGGAGTGGCACGAGAAAGAGAATTTTGAGAAGTGGCAAAAGGAAAAACGGACTCAACAAAGCAGACATGGCGGGAAGTGTAGACAAGCAATAGATGTGTCAAGACAGAGATAGGCACTTTGAGTGGGGGAATACCCGACAAATATGCAAGGAGATGAGCGAGACTCGAGTTTGTGGGAAGTGTATGGGGGAAGCCAAGGATAGAAAAGACATCCAAAACTTCAAAGTTTGGAGTAGTTGGGAGATGTGCCAAAGAGTTTGAGAAATGGTGAAAGGTGATTTAAAGTTGGTGTAGGAAGGCGATTGATGAGGTAGACAGCAGTAGAAAAGGCAAAAGGCCAATATGATAGAGGTATGGATGCATGGGTAAGGAGAGAAAGACATGTTTTGACAATGTGACGATGACGATGTTCAGAGTACCCATTGTGTTCAGGAGTGTGAGGTGGAGAAGTGAGATGTGAGACTCCATTGATAGTTAAGAATGAAGAGAGAGCTTGATATTCCCCCCCATTATCAGAATAAAGAGTTATGATTGGACAGTTAAAGAATTTTTCGACGAGGGCCTTGAAGCGCACAAAGACATTATGCGTGTCAGATTTGTGTTTGAGGAGATAAAGCCATATTTTTTTGGTAAAATGGTCAACAAAGATAACGTAGTATTTGAAGTTATCAACAGAGTAGACTGGTGATGTCCATATATCAGTAAATATAACTTCAAGTGGTGAAGAAGTGGAGAGAGTAGAAGTAGAGAATGGTAATTTATGACTTTTATTGCATTGAAATTGGAAGGGCGAGAGACATCTAAATGAAATGAAGACATAATATTTTTGAAGATTGACAAAGAATGATAACCTAGTCTATGATGCCACTCGGACAAAGTGGTTTTGACACTAAAAAAGGCGATTAAATGTGACTGAGTAGTGGAGAGCGACCATTCATACACACCATCCTTAGTCCGACCCTGCAAAAGGATTGCCCCCGTACGAAGATCCTTCACATGAAAAGAAGAGGGTAAGAACTCAATTGAAGTATTGTTGGACTTGCAAAATTGAGAAATAGAAATAAGATTATGTTTCATGGTGGGAACACATAAAACATTAGATATGGAAAAGGAGTGAGAGGGAGTGGTAAGAGAGATGGAACCAGTGTGGGATATGGGGAGTCTAGAGCCATCGCTGATCATAATTTCATCTATGCCATCATAAGGACTGTGGAGGGCAAGATTGCTGATGTCAGTTGTGACATGATGTGAGGCACCACTGTCAAGTAGCCATGTAGTGTTGGAGGGATAGGTGGTTGCAACATTCGCTTGAGCTTTCCTAGGAGATGGTGGTCGATACTGTGATGAGTTGTTAGGACGAGGAGGTGGTTGCACATGCGAAAACTGTTTTCGGAAGAGAGGACAACGGAAGACTACATGACCTTGAGTACTACACCATTGGCAGGGACCAAGGAATGGATTAACAGGAGAACGATTGTCTCGAGTGTTGCTGGGAGAACTTCTTGTGATATCTTGAGTGGGTATGGATGTGAAACCAGGGAGCCGAGGAGTCTGATTAATAGCGGACCATGGAGTAGAGGGAACATTGGTGGGATGAGCTGATGTCGGTAGAGGTGAGGGACTTGTTTTGTTGAGGAGTGATAGTTCTTTATTGATGAGTTTTTCATGGAGTTCAACAAAAGAGATGGTGGAATCACGACCATTGACAGAATCAATGATAGACTGATAATTTTCATCAAGGCCTTCAAGTACTTTTTCGATTAGATCTTCATGGTCAAGAGGCTTACCGAGAGTGGCAAGTTCATCGGCCCGTATTTTAATGGACTGCATGTAGTCTGTAATGGATTGAGAACCTTTGGTATTATTTTTAAGATGGTCTTTGAGTTGCTTGATTTGGCCACGAGATGGGCGAGCATAGGTGTTGGCAAGGACTTGCCAGGCTTCATAGGAGGTTTTAAATTGGGTGATGAGAGGAATTAAAGAGGGTGAAAGAGTGCCGACAAGTGCTCCAAATAATAGTTTGTCTTGACGTAGCCATGTCTGGTATGCAGGGTTAATGGAGATAACATTATTGGCGGTGATGGTGGGTGGAGGAGCAGGGTGGGATCCATCAATGAATTTTTGTAAGTCGTAGCCTATGAGAATGGCTTCCACTTGGGTCTTCCAAGAAAGATAATTGGTGGATGTGAGTTTAATGGAGTTATGGATAGTGATCATGGTTAGCGGTTTTGTGGGTTCTTGGGCATTAGGTATGATGACTTGGTTTTTCTCATTAGCCATTGAAATTAGGGGATGAGAAGTTTGATGGAGATCAAAGACCAAACCGTGGCTCAGATACCATAAAGAAGATAATAGGATGAAGAAATATATGGCTTACTGTTCTTATTGATATGGGCAGTATATATACAGATTATGTGAGCACAAAAGAAGGAAACTAACTACTAATAAAAAGAAAACAAAATAAATTGAGTAACTGCCAGATACTATAGGTAATTATAAAGAAATATTCAAACGTGAAAATCCCTTGATTTTCTCCCTTGACTTTCTCACCTTGATTGTATATCCTTATCAGTATGTAATACAAGGTGAACTGCCACACGACCATCCCTGGTACCCAACAGCAGTGAAGCTACCATGACTGCAATTTACATTGATCTCATGCTAGGTAAGTCTCAAGAAGCACTGTCCAAGTTAAAACATTGTAGTAATGTCAGGTCCCATCCGG